GGCTGTCAAACTACAAGCTGCCATCAGGTGTGCTTCCTGTCCTTCAGGTCTCTTGCAGTGCTGCTGCATGCCAGGGCCACCAGCCTGCTCACCTGGCAAACAGACAACCTAAACCGTGCTGGCCAGCTGCCTGCTGGTGAGGCAACCTGCCACTCAGCTGGAAAAGGTACCAGGACCTTGCCTTGGAAACCAGTGACCAGGGTATTTATTTACTCAGTAAAGGAGCAGAGTGGTAGACAAAAGTTGCCAGTGTAGAAGTTAGTGGAGAAGGCCAAGCAGTCCCTAGTGCTCTGGGGCATTCTGTACCAATTTTTTACTTCCCAGCCCCTGATGGATAATTCACATGTAAATGGTTGCTTAGAGACATGCATGCACAACTCAGATGCTCCTTCTACAACACCTGCAAGAAGAGCAACTGTGGGCATTAACAGTGCTGCTGCTGCTGCAGCACCTGAGCTGGCTTGATCAGGACTCACATCCTTGTCAGAGGAAGTGATTTTGATTCAAGAATGTGAAAATAACTGAAATATATGTATTTCCAAAGCTACTATAGCCACAGAGAAGATTTTGAGACTGTGACTGACCACACAGGCAGCGAAAGCTGACACATATTTGAACAGTGATTTGTAGGAATCTGATTTCACTCATACATTCATAGCAAGATCTAACACTTACCATGAGGACCACAAAGCATTTGCAACCTGTCTTCTAAGCCTATAAGAAAACTGAAGATTAAGTCACAAAGAAGTCAGCCATTATGCAAATCTTCTTGAAAGGCAGTGACATACATTTAGCAACCATCCCAAAATCAGAACATCAAAAGAAAACATTTTTGCACTAGTTTTCCTTCCTATTGCCAGCCTATGTCCCTGTGAAGGGAGTAGTGTTTATGGAACCAGTGTTTGGAAAAGTAAGCTTGAATAGCAGTGTCAAAGGGTAATTGGCACAAAAGAGATCTCTACATTTGGAACAAGAGGAATTAAGTTTTCCTAAGCACATTGGGACCACAGAGGGCTTGCTGTTGATAGACCCACAAGTAGTAATATTACCAAGTTCATGCCAAGGGTCATAGCATGCAGTGAGACAACAGTTCCTTAGAGCAATGAGAGCAGGGTCATGACTCCTGTGTGCAACTGATTGATCCTCAGAGCTCAGATCTGTGAGACGCACAGGGAAAAAAATGTGAAATTTACAGCATTCATTTACACTTTACTTTGAAAGGTTTTTATTGAGGTAATGATCACCTTGCATTTTTCCTTTTCAGTTACTGCTTGAAAGTCAGTGGAAGGATTTGAAACAATATATGACCATGGGATTTTATCAGCAGAATATATTAGTGCACTAGTTACATGCCAGGTAAAGTTTTGAGCTGTTAGTAGCTTTTTTTCTCTCGGGCTTATATCTGGAGACTGGCCTCTAATTTCCATTTAGCAGAAGAGAAGCTTGAAGCCTTGAGAAATGACAGTGAAACTGTGCAACCAGCCGAGGGACTCAATTCTTAGTTTATGTTCTTTATGACCACAATTAGAAAAGTGCATTGAAGTCACATTTCCACGTTTTATTGGTCTTGAAACTCAACTTTTAGAATGGACTTGAGGAATATTTAGGAGAATCTGAGCACAAATTAGGTTTAGGGTGTTCTAAGTTATGCATCTGGTATAGAATACTGGAGTACCCTGCACTGCTTTTGTAACCCTGACCCTCAGCACAAACTGCCTCCTTTCCTTGGGAGCCTCCTGCCTGTTTGCCACCTGAGAGAATTTTGTTATCAAAGGCATACTCTGTTGCCTCTTTAATGGGCCATTTGTACTTCTGATGACAGTAGAAAATAGTAAGAGTCAAAGTTTAAGAAGAAGTCCATGGCTCCAACACACAACATTAAAGAAGCCTGCTAGAAACATCTGCAAAGCTCAGCAGAAGTCATTCTGGATCTTGTGACGGTTTTCAACCTGTTCTGTGTAATGTCCCAGGTACATCGCCTTGGATTCCTGACCAGGATTATGTAACAAGAGGAAATTTGGTTCATTTTAAATGAGCCAAGAGATAGGGCCTTGGGAGTTTGGCCAGTGCTAAATGAACACAGATACCAATAAAGCTTATAGCTACATACTTTCCTACTAAGCCTCTGGATTCAAGGAGCTCCCTGTAGAACTGCACAGAGACTGGATTGCTGTGATCAATACTGGCAGAGGATATAATGCAACACTATTAATGCAACTAGTCCCATTGAACTCAACAGAAATTCTGCCATTTTCTTCATTAAACCTAGGATTTCACCTAGTGTGTCTTTTCCAGCTCTAATATCTGTGATCCTGAGCACATTACTGAATTGCCAATGGGATCTGTCAACCATTACAGTCTGTGATTTGTCAAGTACTCTATTTGTATTCACTTTGTCTCTGTTGTCTACAGGATTCCAGTAATAACCTATTAAAGACATTTAATGTTACCAATTTAAAACTGAAAAACATAAACTACTGAGGTGGTGAAGTTGCCAGAAGAGACATCAGGGCCTGTGTTAGAATATTTGATTCAACAACTCCTATATGTGCAAAGACTGCAGATTGGATAATTATAGTTCCATCAGTGAGTAGCGTATTTATTAGACCCAAATTTGGTTATCAGAAGTCTTTACTGAGAGATTGCCATGGTAGAGAGGGCTGGCAAATGTGGACAAATAAGGATGGCTTTTTAAAGCTCAGTTTTTATGAGAGGTGCACTCATTTTCAGTGCAGCTACCCAATAGTTACTGTCCTGAGCAATATGGTCCAGTAACATACACAATTAAGGAGGATTCTCTTTTACCTGGTACTTAGCGAAGCTCAAAATCAAAGCTCAGCACTCAATCAGATAGAAATATTGCTTTCTTATAGTATCACAAAAGGAAGCCTTGACAGAAAAAGGAAACTATCAAACGCCTCTTATCCTTGCTAAGTTGTTAATGGTGGGAAAAAAAACACAGATAGCTACACGCTTAGTCTAGTTTGGCATCAATTTGTATACACATAGAGAAACAAGTTACAGATGTTTAAAAAGTTATGACGAAAACAGCTCCACACTAAAAGTGGTTGCAATAAATTGCCTTTCAGTTACAGGTCTGTGGTGCAACAGTTGACATATATGGAGTGAAAGTTAAGGAAAGGGGTGGTAGTCCCACTCTACCGATACAGGCTGCATGCAGCAAAAAATTGTTAAAAAAAGACAAGTATTCAAAAGCCAAGGAAATTATCGGTCCTGTAAGTCAAAAGGCAGAAGTAGTCAAAGCAATGAAAAATTTCTGAAAACTTGAAACTACTGAAGTTTATCATAATTTAAGGTTCTTGCAGATTCGTGCTCCTTCCACTGCACCTTAAAAGACTTATTCTGTACCCTTCACTAGCTTCATTGCCTTTCTGATGAAGGCAGAGAGAGTAAGTCCTATAAGGTACAGCTGAGGGAGCTGGAGTTGTTTAACTTGCAGAAAAGGAGGCTTAGAGGGACCTTATCACTCTCTACGATGACTTAGAGGTTGTAGCATGATGGGGGTCAGTCTCTTCTCCCAGGAAACCAGTAACAGGATGAGCAATAGGCTCTAGCTGTGCCAGAAATTCAGGGTGGACATCAAGAAGTTCTTCATGAAAACGCTTGTTAAGCATTGGAACAGACTGCTCAGGGAAGTGGTGGAGTTGCCACCCCTGGAACTGTTCAAGAAATGACTGGACATGGCACATAGTGCTGGCAATGTGGTGATCAATCAAAGGTTGGACTTGATCTTGGAGGTCTTTTCCAACTTTAATGATTCTGTGATTCTGTAATATTCAGGAAGCTCCACTGTGTTTGGTTCAGCATATGTGGTTGGTGCAATTCCAGCAAAAATTTTTTTCTATTTGGTTCTCAATGTCTCTCATTATCAGTTGAGATCAAGCAGCTCTGAACATACAATATGATTGTTAATGAGCAGTTCTGACCATAAATTTTTTTTTGGTTAATTTTCTTTTTATTTCTTACTAAGTTCTAAGGCAAAGTCAAGCAGTTTTGTGTCACATTTAGTGCCTAGTATGATTCAAAATGTTCATCTACTTTGTGAGCTTTTCTTGCATATCTTTTCCTTTTTTGAAAGTACATTTTTAGAGAAAAGCATCCACTTAAGCAATATTGAGACACTTTAATTTGGGAAGGGATCAGATAACTCCAGGGGTATCTTCAGTCTATTATTCTGCAATTCAAAATGTCAAAAAAATCTTTCAAAAGTCATTCAAACTGATTATTTGAATTGATAGAAATACATCCCTTTTTTCCTGTTTAACTAGACCTATACTTTACAGGGTGAAAAATTGACTAAAAATTTTCATTCAGATCTAACTTTTTCTTCCACTATATTCATAGAACTACATTTTTTATTTTACCCCTTCAGAAAATAACCCGTTTGCAAGTCAATTTATCAAAATTACCCTCCCAATGCATAATATAATAATGTATTTCAGTTAGTGCTCTTGCATCATTTTAAAAGCAAAAGAACTAGGAAGAAGAGAAAAGAAAGAAAAGACAAAAATATATTTTAGAGCTTTTTAAAGTCTTTAGAACAATATTATTCTGTGTGAGTCTATTTTCATCCCAAAAGTAATCTGTTTTTTTTTTTCTATGGGATTTAGGAGTTCAGAGAAACTTCAAGAGTAGCTCATGACACATTGCGTAACTATATAAAGCTTGTTTAACACAGTGCAAAAAACATCAAAAAACCTCTAACCCAACAATATATTACTGTTAAGCATTTTTTAATTATTTATTTCCTTTAAGAAGAGAAAGAAAATCTAGTTATATTAATGTATCTTACCTCTCAATAAAGCTTTCACTTATTTTACTGCTACTTTCTTAGAAGTCAGAAAACACTCTCTTACCTAAAATGCTGACATGTTTCATTTGAAAAAAAAAAAAAAAAAACCAAAACAAAACAGATCTATTTGGAATATTTTATGAGTCAAAAAAGCCAACACAGATTCCTTTGTTTATTTAATTATTTAATGTTTGGACAGTGCTTTGCAAGCATAATACACACTTATTTTTGGTATTACTTGTGCATACAGCATTATCAGCAAGATATGAATAAAATGCTCTCAGCTTTGCAAGCAATTTTCTTGATTAATTTCTTTGTATAAAGCAGCAGAGGGAGCTCATACATTATTTTTGGTGTGTCACACACAAAAAAAATGATAAATTACACGTGCACACATGTGTGCACGCACGCACATGCGGGTGACACGGCCCCACGCACGTATGTGCACATGCAGTCAGCTCTGACTGCAGAGGACGAGGTGCACAGCTACAGTGGCTGTGCCTGCACTTGTCACACAGACCAATAGGAGCAGATGTGTTCAGCAAAAGAGCTGGGAGTGAGCCCCACATGGCCATGGTACACATCCTCCAGGGCACTCTTTCTGGACTAGTGCAGCCTGGTCCCATCAGGCTGAGACACCCATGTGTGCTTTGGGCATGTTCAGTGAGCTCCCAGAGTGCTTTTTCCAGATGGATTTTACCCAAGAGGAAGCCAGCTGGTGCGTTCTGACCTTGATCCTGGACGCAAACCAAAGCTCAGCTGCTGGGGGTGATCTGGAGGCCCTGTCAACAGCATGGGCTTGATCCAGAGAAAGTCACCAGCACCAGAGCTGTGTTAGAAACTTCTAGGTACCTACCTGAGCTGATCTTCAGATATGTAAGGAATCAGATGGATGACATCAATTTAGGCAATTGCATTCTGCTGGAGTGACATGTTAGGAGCCTACACACCTTTTTGAATTTTCTCTTCAACCTGTGTACGTTTTGCAGGAAATGTTTCACAATGGAGGAGCACTGAGGAAAAAAATGCTGAAGTCACTTAAGGACTGGACGAACTTCCTAAACATCTTGGTTTTGTCTGATTGAATGAGTTCTTGGGAATATATGCCCTCAACTAGCCTCATGAAATCTGTAAATCTGAAGTATAAGGAGGGCTTAACATAGTTCAAGCAGGCCCTAGCACTCCCTGAACAGAGGAGTAGAATTGATATTTCCTTTAAGGATATGTAGAGTATACGCTCTTCTATATGCTGGGCCAGGCAGCACATTAGGAGCGTAATTTGGCTTCCCTAGGCACTCCTGTGAAAGTCTAGGAGGAAGCAATGGGCAGTGGATAATTTGGTGGAGGGCAAAGCCAGAAGGAAATGGCGCACTGGACTATCCCATATCCTACCATATACCGATGAGCACTGTTGAGGCCAAAGACTGAAAACAATGGGAAACTGGTCTGCCAATATCTTTTATTTCCAGGATAGGCAGAGGTACTGGGAGCTTTGCATTACAGCTTGCTGGTTTTGCTTCCAGACTTCAACTCAGCAGATATGAAGACAGCAACAACAGGACTGAAAAAAACAGGAAAAAAACAGGTTAGAAAATGAGAAAATTGTGGGGACAGGTGGGAGTTGTGGGATGGGGCACAAGATGGGAACTGCAGAAAAATATGGCACAAACGCTTTGTGACTTTAAAAAACTTATCATTTCAGGGTGGAGTTTAGGGCAAGAGACATAGATTCAGGGAGTCATACCTAAACCAGCTGGCCAAACTTGCAATGAAAAGCTCATAAACCATCACTGTGAGAGAGCAAAAGCCACATTGTTTTTATTTGTCTGTAGAGCAATATGTGTCAGTGTATAAATAGTAACTAATAACATGTGCTGCAGCACTTCTGTGGTATTTTTTAATAATTACTGTTGTTATAAAGGAGATTAGTATGAAGTAAAACATCTCTATGAGTGAAAAAATTGCTACCTCTTTCCCCCTGATATTTGTGTAACTGAATTAAAAATACATAGATACATCGAGTCAAAAAAACATTATTCCTAATTCAAGGAACTCAAGCTGAACACCTTGAAAAATCTCTCAGCTACGTTGTTCTCTCATATGTTATGAGGATTTTTATTTCCTTTTAACAGCAGTAAATCGTCAAATGAAAGAGGCTTATATTGCACATACCATTGCAAGACATGCTCATCATGTAACGTCAGAATGGACTATTTTTTAACCTAATATACAACAATTTAGCAGCATTAAAAGAACATAAAACAGATAAAAGTATAGCTTTTACAGCCATTCATCAATGGCCTTTTTTTGACGAGTGCAGATACCTCCTCAGGCTAAGCATACATCTCTCTATTTCACATAAATACACAAAGTGACAGGGCTTCCAGTCAAAATAAACATTTGCTCAGTGTATACCTGATTTCCATCCATTTCATTCAACAGGAAAGATACTGAGGTTAACAAACACACTAATCTCTCATCTGCTTTAGGGATGAGGATGTGCTGTATCCAGCACCTTGTGATTGAGTGTGTTGGCAGTTTGCTGCTCCCATGGATGTCCATGCCTTTGGATTGGCACTATTTAAAAGGCAAACAAAAGAACAAGCCTTGATGTGAATCCAAACAAAATTACTTTCAGTTTTTAGAAAATAAGAATGGTTCAAGGGGGAGAGGGCAATGTCTCAGATTTGGTAACTGCACAGGTAGTGAGGAGAATGGCTGAAGAAAGAATAATTTGGATGAAAATGCTACACAAGATTATATAACAATATCATTGCACATTAAAAAATATAACAAAACAAAACAGAATGAAACAAAAAACCCATATAATATTGAACAGCACGAAACACCTACAATTCAGAGTGAAAACTACCAAGAGTCTGAGGCATCCAAATCTCACTAAATCTGAGGAAATCTGTGGTACCTAGAACAGAAAGTAATTTTTTGCATTTGTGGCTCTGGCCTTAAACCCTCTGTGGAGGGAAATACGACCCTGCTGCCTTGGCCTGTCTCTCCAGCAGTTTGAAGAAGAGGAGTTGAGCACAGATTTCTTACCTCCTGGGGCAGGGCTCATTGACCATCACTGCACCACCACGATCAGAGCTGCCTCCCTTGCCAAACAGAGAAAGAAAGGATGTAGTAATAGGTCCCCTCTGAGTCCCATACCTGGTTTGTTAAACCTGTGTGGTGATGCTTTGTCAGGTAAAATACATGATTTGAACATACTGTTTGATGATCTCACACTAGGATTTCACACTACGCTATTGAAGACAAAGTTGATTGCTTTATTTTAACAGTCATGATATTAGTTAAACCTGATTAACAGATTATTTTCCACTGACATCACTTCTTTATTCTATTTACAAGCTAAATAGGCCAGACACTCAATTGATAAATGCTCATTTCCCTCCATCTTAATTAACTAAATATTCTTTTACTTAAACAATCCCTCATTTTTCCAGAGACACAGTAATAGATCCATTAGAAGGGTGTATCTGATACCAGGGATCTTTTATTTATGAGCACAAGTCCAAATGGTTACTATTTTTTAATGTTTTTATTTTCCTTGATACTGTACACCGTGTAATGGCTTTGGTCCAAACAGTAATCACACGATGGGTGCCGTTTCTTCTTTCTTGACCTATCACACTCCACATGATTTAATCCATTGTTTTGGATGTTGCCAATGATTTATTGTATGAAAAATGTAAATGATCTGTATGGCAGATGTTTTATATTTTCTGACCATTCATTTTCAGTGGGAATGTAATTAAAATTTATGAAGTGTATCTGCTGAATTGCATTGGCAATTGATGATCTCCTCCAGTGCTGTCTGTCTGGAGATGATGAGTGATTGTGGACAGTGAGATGTGTTGACAAGGGCAGAAACAGACGTGATGTTACTGTCATGAGCAAGGCTACCTGCAAAAAGGCTGCCTTTTTTTTCTTCCTTTTTTTCCCACAGGAAGAAGGTGGCAACCAGAGCTGTCTTTCTTCTCGCAAGACAGAGTACAAAGCCTCTGCACATTCCTGAATGCTGTCACTCTTCACAAGTACAATCTCTGTCTCTCAGCAATGGGCATCTGGAAGCCACAATACCAGTTATCACAACCCATGTCAAGGATGTTAATTAAATTCCTGATGGCCACCCAGAGAAGCTAATGAGTGTAAATTTCACAACATCCCAACTCATAAGGCAGCCCACTTAACCTTTTCAGCGTTGATATCCTTCCTCCAGGAGGGAAGTAAAGAAGTGAGCTGTTTGCCTAGGGAGCAGGGAAAGGAGGAGATACTTGGTCTGGATCAGTTTAAAATACAAACAGATGAGAATTGGATTTGCTGGATTCAGATATCCCACAACAGAATGGGAAGGGTTTTTTTTGTTTTTTTTTTTAACTGAGATACCAGACAGCACAGAGCCCTTATTGCTATGAATCTGAGTGGGTCTCCTCACCTTAGCCCCTTCCAGCTCCATGAGCAAGAAAAGCAGCTCTCTTTTTAACCCCAGTAAGGTATACTTACTGGACTTTCAATTTCCCCTGCTCCTGACATAGCACACCTCTTACATTTCTGAGTGCTGTGGAGGACAGAATACGTAATTACTATCATCCCACCATACAGTTACTTCTACAATAAATGTACAGACAGCTAGATTAACATGTAGTGAATCATGTAAGTGCTATGGGACCAACAATTGGAACTGGGGAATTTCTGACACCCATCTTTATCATCAAAGATTTTGATCACTTGAATGTTCAAAGTGTTTTCTTAATTCACAAACCTCATTTACAATATCTACCATTAGGCCCTAATAAAAATGCCTTCACTCTAAAGTCATGTGGCCACCTCATTACCAGAGGCTGGTAAATGAGGATTTTATTCCAAAAGCAAACCCCAAAGGTAGTTTGTCACGAATGCCCCAGTCCCACTGCTGTTGCTGACACCACTTCCAATATATTCTTCCACTATGGGTGGGGTGCAAATGAAGGTGCTTGTAGCTGTCAGTTCTTGAGTTCTGCTTGTGCTGAAGTCAGTAGGCATTTTGCCATTCATTTCAAAAGTAAGCATTACAAGCTCAAGAACTAATCCAAGCTTCAGGCCTGGTAGCAATTGTGACATTTGACAATGTATGATTCAAAACAGACAAGGGATTGAAACGGCAGGTGCAGCAGATGGTCAAGATCCTATTACACAAAGACCTTTTTTCTTCCATGTGTACTCCCAGCTCTGCTGCGTCGGTGCATCTCTGGCATCCTTCTCCTCTGGAGAGGAGAAGAAATGAGGTAGGACTAGGGTCACAAAGTCTGGTTAGGCACATTTTAGAAAATCCCAAGGGGATACTCTCAGCACAACTCATACTACAAAACGCATAGCAAATACTGCAGAACTCTGGGTGCCAACAAGGTTAAATTCTTTTTTTGGCTTCACTGCTGTCTTGTTGGGTACCTCAGTTTACCTATCTGCACTTTTAGGTAATGTGCCTCACCTGGCTTTGTATGCCAAAACTTCATTCATTAATACTGATGTCAAAGAGGACATTCAGCACCTCACAGGAGGCCCAGTGCACCTGCATTAGTTAGCCATAAATCATGGGAAACAACACTTTGAAGTGTCAGGGAGATTTAATGTGGGATACAGAACAGAAGGGGAATGTGATGAACTGAGCCCCAAGCCCCAAATAAGGAATTTAAAATGCACCTTACCCTTAAAAGTGTCAGCAAATGAAGAAAAAGAAGAGTGGGGAAGCCCCAAAGGCAGCAATTTTGAATGCTTTAGTTTTCTCTATTGACTTTAATTAAGCTCACCCAGGATTGCAGGCCTGTCACTTGGGGAACCTTTCCATAAAGAAAAAAGGAGTTTTCTCCCCAGGTGGGTTTTCCCAAGTTTCTCAGGCTCTTACCACAATATATGCCTGGCATCCATGACAGGGTCGTCAAAAATAATAGCTAAGGAATTCACTGTCTGTCATTCCAAAATAATTATGTATGGGGCTTTACTTGCAGTTGAGATGGGTTATATATTTCATTGAGAAAACCCATGTAGACTAAAACATATATTTATGTGTATGCATGTAATATATGAAGGTTGAAGAGATTAACAGTCAAATAAAGAATATAGGGGAACAGAAGTCTGTATGCATGCATGTGAAACATGTTGAGAAAGAGGGTAGAAAGCACTGTAAGTCTAAAAGTTGTTAATTAACAAATGCATTAATGCTTTATTAGCCATTTATCAGTAATTAATCACTTATTCTGATATAAATTTCAAGCTTACAAATGCACCATGAAAATTGTCCCTTAAATATAAGCCAAGTTTTAAGGGTCAGCAAAACCATAGCAAAGGTAGCAGCATATTCCCCTCAGCTGCCTGGAAGAGTTATTTGGTGCCTCAGCATCATGCCTGTGTCTAGGCATACAATAGCTTTTTGGGTGCTTTCAAAGTCAAAATAGTGTGGGGAAAAAAAATGAAGAGAGCTTGTAAGCAGAAGGGGAGGAGGTAGTATACTCAGTGGTATTCTTCAGGTGCACAGTTTGAATAAAAATGCAAAACAGGATGCTCCCATTCAGTAAATATTATCATTTTTATTCACTCATTAATTAAGTTGCTTAATTGCTGCTGTCAAAAGACTCTTGAGTTTGTGACTGGGGTTGCTGCACTGTTTTGATAGTAGCTGAGGAAGGAAAAAGGCATTATCACTTGGCTTGTTCTTTACTTGATAATAAGGAGGTACTGGTTGTAGGAGAGCATAACAAAACTTCAGAGTTGCATATGGGAAAAGATAGATATTCACAGGAAAAAAGGAAGGGGATAGGTACATTTTATTTAATACATCAAATATTATTTCACCAATGTGATGGATGCACCGTAACTTGTGCATTATTGTTCAGTTTGTTACTCCATGAAAATAATTTTAATACAAAGTATTTCTCATGTTTTAATCTAACTTCCCAAAATGGTCCAGAAATGGAAAGGGACTCAAGCTGTGTTGTTCAACACAATTATAGATATTTTTTTTCCAGAACCGTCCCCAAAAGATTAATGTACACTGGTTTAGGTTCTGTCTCTTCCACGACACCAAATTGACAAATGACCAATGCTTACGGTATATTATTCATACATTTCTGAGACAGTAGCTATTCATGCCAGGATGATGATCAGTCCCATGTCACTCAAGACATTCTTAGAATTGATGCCCACTTTGCTGCGGACATCTTACACCTCAGCATCACCCTGAAGAAGTGCTGTGTTCGTGACACATGAAGGTGTCTTTGCAAATGAAAATGAGACTGATACTGCTGACATGGGCCAGGACCACCCATAACCATTTATTGATTCTTATTACTAAACAGACTAAATGGAAGACAGCTTTCAAAACAGATTGCTGGTGATGAGCTCTGAGTCAGATCATTACATGTATATCTATACCTGTACAGAGTCTGGAGATATCGTAGGTTATGCTTGTCTCAGGATGGCTCAGGTGTCACAGAAGGAAAGACTGTTGTACACAAACAATTAAGCAGAAATTGCTGATCAGAGAGAGAGTAGTGCTAGGATGATGGATATGGTATATAGCCACCAATTTTACCTTATGGCTAAGAAAGGTATAGTTTATCCAACAGTTCTAAAGTCAAGCCTGCAGTTAAATCTGTATGTCTATTCTCTGTTCCCTCTTTTTTAATCCTCTGTAATGAAGCAGGTGATGACCTAATGGACTTATTTCTTCTCAAGAGGAAGAATTCTGCTTAGTGATTAAATTCCTTTACACAGGCACAAATGGGTGTGGCCTGCTCTGTGCACCGTGCAGGGACTATCATGACAGGGTCTTTGTGTTTTTGGGTGTCTCACACTGCCTATGCTGCTGGCTGGGATAAATTTCAGAAATAGGTTATGAAGGTCTTCAAAACTCTTTGACACATTGCATTTTTGGCAAGACTTTCATTATATCTCAAGCTGTTACACCCATTAAAGTCTCCCTTCCTTCTGTTGATAAGACACTACAGTTTTCACTGAACTGTGCAATGAGTTTAGCAATGGACACAAAGGTTCTTAAGGAGAGAAGCAAATCCAGTACACTGTTACGAGCAGATCATATCCAAATGTGAATAGGGGTTTTCTGAGCTGAAAGGGTATTGATCCACAACACCACACAGTCTTAGCTATCTTACAGGTTCCTTGGGAAAAAAAAAACAATGGCATTAATTAAATGACTTATAGGTACTTGCTGCACTCATTTCTTTTGATTTCACCAAAATGAAAGGAAAAGGCAAAAGTACTACGAAACATTCTATTCTACACACTGGAAGTTGTGAGCAAAGAAAAGTTTTCAAACATTTCAAACCTATATTATTATTCTGTAAAAAATAAAATCATAAAATATACCCATTCATCTTACTAGATTTTATGGGTCAGTATAGTCTTTTTAAAATCTGAAGGCCTAAGAAATGTAAGTGTGCTGACTGATGAGCTGGGACAGCCTTACCTCAGGATAAGCTGAAAAGGTTGGCAGCTCCAGCTGTCTGCTCTGCTCCTGGTGTCCAGATGTCTAAGCTGCTTGTCAATCAGCTCCCAAACCACTGCAGTTTACAGGGCAGACTTTGCACTGCAGCCGTCCCTGGTGTTGGTTTGCCTTAAAATGCTTCATTGTAGTCGCTAGCTGAATTCTGTGGATAATGACACAGGATAGAAAGTGATACCTCTACCACCAGTCCCCATAAAGGCAGTCCCGAGTAGTAAGAGTCCAAATGTACTTAAATATACCCCATATCTCCCATTGTGCTTTTACAAAAATACACAAAGCACTAAAATATACATTTAATTGCAATACAAACTTAAAGCATTCAGAAGCTGCTTTTCCGTAGAATTTCTGCTATCAGCAACTGGAATTGGAAATTGTGGTACTAAGAATTGTGTTTCTCACATCCTTCTTTCCTGACCCTAGCCACCTCTGCCAGCCTGCAATGACAGTGTTGGAGCACCTGACCATCTTTGCTAGTCTGGGACACAGGATGCTGTCACTCATGCCACTCTCATTATACCTCCTGTCCCCATTTGTGAATTCAGCAGTGAACTCAACAAAGGAGTTTAAGTGTAAAGCAACATAAGTTTTGTCTCTTCTTCTCTGATGTGAGCAAATACCTTTGCTTCACCCTTCCCTTGGCCTTCCTGATATCTCTTGTCATACTATCTTTTCCTTCTCTTCTGCTACTCCATCTAACAATGGAGGGCAGAAGCTACCAGAGTCACAGTAAATGGATACTGATTTTCAGAAGAAAAAATTGCTTCTTAGCTCTTCCCAGAAGAGTTTCTCAGGTGTATTCTGAAGCTTATTTGGGCTTCTCTTTGTCTCCAGTGACCAGTGGTTAAATTATGCTCTGATAAAAGGAGAAATGAGTCAAAAGAAGGGACCTAAATTTTACTACAAGCGAAAGCAGGTGATGTAAGTTCCTGATATAAGTTCTCAAACAGCCACCTGGACCTGAGTAACTCCTTAAGTAATTCCTGATATAGCAGTGGTAGGCTCTGCCTAGAGACAGTGTAATAAATTTCCAGAGCATGTTATTCCCTGAGGACCCAGCAGGCGAGCACACTGAAAGCTTCCTTGGGGAAAAAAAAAAAAAAAAAGAAAAAGAAAAAAAAAAAAAAGTACAGAAAAGCACAAAGGTTCAGCTGCTGTCCTTGTGCTTCTATTTCCTTACTGTTTCCCCCAGCACAACATAGTCAGACCAGATGATTCAGAAACAAGAACTGACACCTTCTGCACCCTTTGTCACAGGATTCCGAGATGTCAGCACAAGCTCCCAGCCTGGCGAGGGCTTCCAGAGACATCAAGCAAAAGCTACTGCTCACTCCTCCAAAATAGAGGGGACATCCCCATCTGACACCAGCCAAAGTCCCAGAGTGACTCCACAGTTTTCCTTTGGCTTGTGCATCCAGAGACAATTTGGGAGTGGCAGTGGGGTCTTTCAGGGGAGAGACCCTGGCTGGGTCTGGAGGGTTCAGGCCAGGAGGAATTTAAGACTACATTGTTAAGAGGCGGCTGCGCCCTCCAGCATGGGACAAAACTGCTGCCAAGGTTCAGCAGCCAAGCCTTCTTCGGCTTGGTGCAGAATGTGAGAGCAGCCAGCGATGATGCCGTGGGGCTGAGCTCAGCCACCCCCCAGCCCCCGGTGTCCGGGGGAATGAGGCAGAGGTGGGTTAGGAGGGCTCTGGGCCCCGCGGAGCCCCAGTTCACGCCTTGGTGCATGTGTGGGAGTTGAAGAGGGGGTCAGGGGGTGAGGGAGAGTTCATCCCCGGGCTGAGCGATGGCCCTGCCCGCACGGGAGGGGGACGTCCGCGGCCTCCGAGCAGAGTCACTGGAGGTTCATCCCGCCGGGGAGGAATTCTTCCCAGCGGTAGCCGTCCTACTGATGAATCGCCCCGCGCACGGGGCTGGCGGGCTGTGCGCCCTGCGGCAGACACGGCCGCCACCCGCCGCGGCCGCGACGGGCGCCCGGGATGAACGAGCCCTCAGAGGGACGGGGCGGCCCGGGGCGGCAGGGTCTGCTCGCTGCGTCCCTCAGCCCTGCTCGCTGCTCCCTCAGCCCTGCTCGCTGCTTCCCTCAGCCCTGCTCGCTGGTCCCTCAGCCCTGCTCGCTGCGTCCCTCAGCCCTTCTTGCTGCTCCCTCAGCCCAGCTCGCTGCTCGCTGCTCCCTCAGCCCTGCTCGCTGCTCCCTCAGCCCTGCTCGCCGTTTCCCTCAGCCCTGCTCGCTGCTCCCTCAGCCCTGCTCGCCTCCCTCAGCCCAGCTAACCGTGGGATACAGGCAGTGCTGGAGGTCTGCGGATTATGGGGAAACCCCAGCAAAGCTTGCACGCTCCTCGCTCTACCTGTTTCTGGGTGACCGAGGGAGTTTTCTCTTTGGTCACTTAAAAAGGGAGATGAAGTTCTGTTCACACAGACCTGGATCACAAACGCCGACTGTCTGACACCAGCCCTGGCTGCACCGGACTGGGATCATGCTCTAGATATAGGAAGACTGGACTGCCCAGCTAGGACCGTGGGTATCCCAAAAATGATGGCAGCTTTCAAGTTCCCTGTGGAACAGGCAAAAAACATGACTGCAACTCAAGCGATGGTTTTGCAGCAGATTTTAGCAGCAACAAGAATTTTCTGTTTAAAGGGGTTTCAGAACAAATACTTTGAAAATTTTAAAATATATATTTTTTGTTATATGTTTTTATAAAGAAGTAGTGAGAAATGGAAGTGATTATTTTATCTTCCAATTGAACCATGGTGGATCAAAGCAAGAAAGTATGTATCTCAAAACTGACACATCCCTAAAAATTTCATGATTGTTGCTATTTGATGTGACACGTCACAGAATTTTATGTCAAGGTGAAGAAAATACGACAACTTACATGTAGTATTTTCAGAAGCAGAGTTTAAGTGCAATACTGAGAAGTGTATTTGCAGGGTTTTTAAACTCTGCTTCTTCACAGACTTTAGAAAAGCAACCCCATATGCTTTAAACTTCTGCACCCCATTAATTAAAAACAGAGCTTAAAAGTAATACTAAAAATAATTGGCTGGATTAGAAAAGGCTGTGGGTGAGCTGAGAAGTTACCATTGCACAAATATTAATAAATCACTCTTCCTGTAATTAGCAGGGAAAAAAAAAAGAGTGCAATGTGGTAAGCTAGTAGTTGTTTACAAAAGTATGTTGGCTGAAGCCTGTCATCCCTCCTCCTTTCCCTTTCCACACACGTCCTTTCAAACCAAGATACAGCTGCTGATGCCATTCGTAAGTAAGAGACCAGCAAGGGCAAAACAAGATTTTCAAAAGGTCGGTAGAAAATGAGGAAATAAGTCAAATGACCAAGACTGTTAATAAGTGATTAATATTATACTATTGTTACCAGAAATGAAACAGTTCAGCCTCTATACCAGTTCTTGAAAGGTGCAATTCTCTAATGATGTTAGGCAGTGTAGCAGAATGCTAAGCACCCCTTGTTCTTTGCTCAGCACTTTCCTAGATGTAGCTCATGTGGAAAAAAAGAATCATAAAGAGCTCTAAGCCTTCCCTAATGTTGGGAGAAATCCAACATTTGATGGCTTCCAAAATAAAGTCAATAAATAAGAGCAATGTTTTGTAGAACAAAATAATCTCATTTAAAAGCATCAGTAAGAACGCTATCTAATTGTTTTGTTTTGGCAAGCAAGGAAAATAGCTATATAGTTTTCTTGCTTGAGCACACACAAGTAATCCAAGGTGCAAAATAATCACAGCCTCCCTGATTCAACAGATTTCCCAGAGGTAGATTCTGATGTGCAGTTCTCCTGGATGGTTTGTACACCTTCCCTTGGCTTATGATCATTCTGCTTTCTGGGTATCTCTCTTTCAAGCTCAAGAGCTCGCCTTCCTCTTTCCAACAACATCTCCTCCTGCCTCTAGACTGTCTCTTGTGTCTTTTGTATATGCTGAAGGTTCTCCTCAGCTTTTCTAAATAACCTCTGCTCTTTTATTTTACTATCAGGGAAGCTCCCTGAAAGACAAGTTTTCCTTTAAGTGGATGTTTAACTGTTACATTCTAGGTAAAAAAGAGTGTTTCAAGTTGTTTTCCTAAAAAAACCCCGAAGAATCAAAACCCAAAACAACCAAAAGCAAAACAAAAAAAAACAAACAAACAAACCCATGCACACAACAACACAAAGGAAAAAAAAAAAAAGAAAGAAGGAGCACTTCAAAGCATTCAAGCATTTAAAAAGTTCATGCATTCATTCTAGATATCCCCTGGTGGTTTCGGCTCCTAAGTCACAATATTATGAAATTCTGCTATCCTATATCTCTGCCCTTTGGCACACACAAGTTCCATTGACTTCAAAGAGAGCTGTGCATGCACAACAGTGACATGTAAAGTCTCCTCAATCCCTTAATCTTCCAAGAATTTAGTATTTATTACTACCTCAAAATAAAAGTCTTTCCTTTTTCTTAAGAGTAATCTAAGAATATTGACCATCCCCCAAGCAAAGCACTTAGGCACGTGGTAAAGTTTAGGCAAGGAAATAGTTATATTCACATTCTATAAGGTAAGTGCACTTTAAAGTCAGTAGCACTGCTTAAGTGTTTGAAGCTGGGCATGTGTTAACTACTGACCAAATCAGGATCATAGGAGAGAAATTCCTTCACCAAAGCAACCAGATCACAGGGAGTATAACAACTTCTTCAGTCTCACATCCCAAAAACCTAGGGTAATCATTGCTAGCATTTGTAATGTTTTATTCTGCTTCTGAGTGTGTTTGGTTTGTGCATTCCAGAGAACAGAGGCAAACTTGAGTCAACTCTTCCCATGGAGGAGTGAAGTGCCCTTCCCATGGAGGAGTGAAGGGTTACATGGGTGATCCCACCATGGGCTGGGCCTGCAGCTGCACAGTGCCATGCTGTTCCACAGTGGCAACCTGAGGCAATGCCACAGCTCATCTTCCACCACATTTACATG